TCAGAAAAAAGCGTTTTGTTCCACATCATATTAGAACCGTGACAACAAGACAAACACAACAACAACAACAACAACAACAACAACAACAACAACAACAACAACAACAACAACAACAGCAACAACAACAACAACCGTAGCAGCAGCAACAACAACAACTTATAAAACAACATCCACAAAAACATCAACACCAACATCAACAACAACAACAACAAAAAGATTAGAGATGTTACAAGAGAGTAACAAACACAAAAAAACCCGGAGAGAAACACAAACGATGGATGTGTGATAGGAAACAGGAAAGAATGAGCAAACCACACCAGAGCCCCTGCCTACCAACCGCACAAACACCTCATTACCACCACAACACTCTCGATAAAACGTATGATGTTACGTCGTTGTTGTGAAATTATTCAAATTTGACCCAAAAAAAACAAAATACTGACTAACAAACATTATCACTAATTCGGTTTCTTAACGTATGAGTTTTAGGGGGGGAGGGGGTTAGTATAGGTTTTACGGCGCTCGCAACTGAAGGTCATATGCGCGCCAGAAGATTAGAGGTGTTACAAGAGAGTAACTAACTTAAAAAAGAAGAAGGGGAGATATGGATGATAGATGTTTGATAGGAAAGAAGAAGCAAACCACCCCAGAGCACCCGCCAACCACCCACTGAAATTATTCAAATTTGAGCATAAACAAAATCCTCACTAACAAACATTGTCTCTAATTCAGTTTCCTAAAGTATGAGTTTTATGGCATTTGCAACACAATTAGGTCAAATAAGTGCTGAAGATTGGAGGTGTTAGAAGAGAGTAACAAACACAAAAAAGGAGGAGGAGAGGTGAGGACGATAGACGTTTGATAGGAAAGAAAGAGCAAATCACACAAGAGCACCTGCTAACCACCCACATAAACACCTCATAACTATCACAACGCTCCCAATTTATAATAATACTAGTTGGACCCCCTTTCGGTGAAAAGAATGATTGGTGCATTAACATCAACTGAAAGTCATTGGCCTACTATATTTACACTCTACTGGAATGGAGCAATTAAATCTTGTTAGATGAAAAAATTTAGAAGGTTTAGATACAGTGATGTATAGATTGATTCTCTATTCTGCTTTCGAGGTTGTACTCTCCTGAATTTCAAAGGTGTGGAAACAGTGCGAACGGTTAGTGAACAGAAACCTCACTTGTTTACAATGGCGTCTTAGAAGACGGACTTTCCCAATTATAGATCTAAAAGAAACTAATGAAAAATTGAAAATTAAACTACAGTGACTTCAGACTCCTCAGTAAAACTATGTGCCCTTTAAATGATTCTGAAAAACGATTAACTTTTTCAAATTCAAAAGTTAAGTTGTTCAGACGTTTTAGGCGGTCAAAGTGAAAAACTTTCAGAAATATAATAATTATGTACAGATTACGTGTGATTTTGATTGCACTTCTGAGAAATTACTCAAATTCGAGAAAATAAAGATCTGACTCTTTAACATTGTCACTGATTTAGTTTTTTCTTTGTACCACCCCAACACTCCTGATAATATACGTGTGATGTTACATCGACTTGCGTGTTTTTGTTGTTTTTGTTGTTTGTTTTGTTTTTTGGGGGTGGTTGTTTTTCGCTTTTTTGTTGTTTTGTTTTTCTTCCTTTTTTGGGGGGG